CAATTCTACCCAGTTCCCTTCAGAATGAATACGATTACGGCATAATGACGCCTTCGGAAACGAGCAGAGCTGAAACAGTCACTTCGGGCAGAGTGGATCGTGCCGTCAGCCTCGAGGAATACGACAACCGGTCGCCTCCCATGCTAACATGCACCAATAGCAAGTCGACATGGCAGAAGCAGCCTCAATCCCCCCAATCGAAGTCAGCCAACCAACTAGACCGACTAGCAGACAGGTTCAGAATCCTTACATTATGTGACCCAACTTGATACCTACTACCTACACCAAAAACTCATTGTCAATCAGAAATAGCCTATATTCTGTAAGAGTATGCAATTCTCGAATAGGAACTTAGTCACCAAGATCATCCATCTAAGATAAGTTATGGACTAATAGAAGAATTTATCCTACAATGCTATGCGTAGGCCTCACGATGTCATTGCATTTTTCTTTGACTTGCCTCTCAAATGGTTTCAGTTGCTGTTAAGGATACTGATGAGACCTAGACGAAGGCAAAACTGCAGTCTAGGCTGGATGCTAAAGCATTTTTGGTGGCAAAGCCTATTGAAATTCGATGGAATAACAGAAAAAACCTCGCCGACATTGCCATAAATAATTACAGTGATTAGGCTTTCATATAAGAATTATTTATAGATTCTAACCATACACTCACACCAAATGTATGTGAGATCATCAAGTGTAATGGGTGATACCTTTTGGCCTCATTGCCAAGCATACTATAAGGGAGATTTTGGAGATACCTTTTTTTTCCGGAAAGTTACGCCTGCTCTGCAACAAGCTGTTTTGAGTTCTGATGTGATTTAGGCGAGGTCGAAACTGATGGGGGACTTCAAAAATTGCTCTCGCCAGACGTGTTGTTCTGCAGTCATTTTATGTTATTATGAGGTTTATGTTGACGCAGACTATGAGGGATCGACCTTTGATTCCGGTGAAAATAGTCTTAGACTTTGTCTGTCATGACACTCGGCAGGTCTCGTGAAAAGCTAAATACCTTTCTTCCTTATATGACAGAGGGCATTGAAAAAATTGAATGAATTGCTTAGGTTGTTTTCATATCAATCTAGGTACTTTTCTGTTGGATTGCTTGTGAATGTGGTTGTGTGTGTATGTGTGCACGTTAGGGTACAGCCAGGGAATGTCTGCTGGTTTCTCATTCACATACAAGCAAGCATGAAAGAAGTTAGACTTACGTTAAAAGGAAGCAGAAAATCATGTATTATCTATTTATATCTATCTATATTTATGGCAGGTATATATGGCATCTAAAGAAGAGCTGGATAGTCTTCATGACTTATTATTATAATGGTTTTCGTTTCGTTTGCTCGCACCGCTAGCCAGAGGAGGTTCGCCTTGGAGTTATGACTGTAGGCTTGTACGCACAACCTCGCGGCCTCGATAAATCATGGTTCATTGGCGAAGACACGTTCTCACATAACTAGTCACAGCTCCAAGGCCAATGTATGAATCTCTTCCACTCGCTTTTTCAAACGAAATTAAAAATACTCTAACATCAATCTATTAAGTAAGTTTCGGAAAATCCGTTTTTCTGCATATTGGCTTGAGGTTTCGGCAAGAATGATATCCACTTCTGACGTTGCCTTTTGACTGGACTACTTTTAGTTCATAAGTAGACTTTCGAGATTATCAGCAGATCATACATATGAGATGTATTCATCCTATTTCGTTAAGAATGATAAAGGACATGCAGTTGAATTTTCCCACAATGCTATGAATAAAACTTACTTTTCCATCGAGTTGTACATGGCCTTTTTTTGCTCTAAACGTATGCTCATCCAAGCAAGAGTGGACTGAACCTTCGAACTTGCCTGAGCTGGTCTACTCAGCACCCCAGACGGGGCTCGAATCATGACAGTGTAGCGTATAATTTAGACACGTCAACCACCATGCAACATTTGCACGAGTTCCCTTGAGTCAAAGAGTGGATGTGAACTTCAAGGAAGGTCCTAAACGAAATAAGATGTATACATCTCATGTGTATGATCTACTGAGAGCTACGAAAGCCTAGTTACAAATGAAAAATAAGTAACGTAGTCGATCGCAATAGTAAATATAATTTTGCCTCATCGACAATCCCCCCACAGAATGCGATATGGAAAAATGCCTAGCCCTCCTTGAAATTCACATCTGATCTATGATCCAAGGGCTCTTGTGGAAGTGTAGCGTAGCGGTTATCGTTTCTGGATCATACGCTGCACTGTCATGGTTCGAGTCCCGCTGGGGGTGCTGATGCTACCTAGCCGAGATCGAAAATGCAGTCCACTTCGGCCTGGATGAAAATAGCCTTTGATCAAGCAAGACTATATGAACTTCAATGGAAACATTAAATCTACTCACAGCTTGTGGGATAATTAAACTACCTGTCACTTTATCACCCTTAACGAAATAGGATGGACACATCTAATATATTGACTTGCATGCTAGAAGCGTGCTCAACCCGTTTTCATCAGGAATGAGAATAATGGAAAATGGTAAGAGTGGCTTGTGAATCTTCATCGGGCATTTCCACACGAAATGAGGGTAAGCACAGGCGATTCATTAAAATCCATCAGCGTAACTGTGTTAGTAATAATAGCAATAGATATTATTAATTTATTATTATTATAAACTTTAAATGATTTCAATCAGGCTGGACCGAATGAAAATGCAGTTGAAAAAGGAGCGCAGCCAGATCGCCCAAGCTATGATTGATAGACATGAAGCAATCGAAAAGCAAGAGCGTTCCCTCCTCCTCCTCTCAACAGAATTGGAGCGTCTTCGGCAGGCTCAGGAGCAGCAGAAGCAGACGCATCAACAGCCGCCCAGTCACCAGCATCCTCCTCAGGTGAGCCGGCCCACAAAAGAGGGACGTTCGGCATCCTCTATCCCCAGCCTTTGTCACCACCCGGACTCAGTCGGTTCGGATAGTCTGCCGTTGTCGTTGACAAACGGAGCTAGCAATCACTGTACCGAGGCGGTCGGCTGCGCTTTGCCCATCTTCATGGCGAAGATAGGCCACTTTTCCCCCTCCTCCTCAAGCCTGACCAGTCTGACCGACTGCCCACATCCGGCCAGTCCGCCCCCCTCGTGTC